AGGTTTGGAATTTGCTTGCTCGGCACTTCCTGTTTATTCAGGTAATATTTTATCCTTCTCAGATGTTTGATGGGGTTGAAGACAATATGGTTATAGTTACAGTTTTCCTTGTTACCAAATTCAGAAAAAAAAAAAAACACATAAGAGATGTAAAGTTTAAAAAGGTTGAAAGACATAAAAATTTAAGTTGTTTATAAGAAATGTTTTAAGTTCTAAAATGGTATTTTAGGATGATAAGTTATGATAAAAAATGGTTTAGGGACTAGGCGTTGGTGGCGCATGCCTTTAACCCAGCACTCAGGAGGTAGAGGCAGGTGGATCTCTGTGAGTTCGAGGCCAGAATGGTCTCCAGAGCAAGTGCCAGGACAGGCTTCAAAGCTACACAAAGAAACCCTGTCTCAAAAAAACAAAACAAAACAAACAAAAAAAAAAGGTTTAGGTATAAAATGCTGGATTCATTAAGATAGAATAGATAATAAAGAATAAAGTAATTTCTCCAAATTTGCCAACTACAAATGGACTGGACAATGTGAACTTAATCCTTACTTGATTAATTGTTCTTATTGTGCACAGTTTTACTATGTTAGAATTTAAACCTTTCCTATTTAGACAAAAAAGGAGGAGATGGTGGGGAATATTTGTACACTGTGTGAAGATGTATTGCTGTGACTAGTGCAATAAGAAGCTGAATGGCCAATAGCTAGGCAGGAGAGATGGGCAGGACTTCTGGGCAGAGAGAGGAATAATCAAGGGGTGGATCAGACACCAAGAAATGGAGGGAGTTGGACATAAAGAATGAAAAGAGGTTAAAAAGCCATGAAGCAAAACATCAATTAATATAAATGGATTGATTCAGGTTATATGGCTATGGGACAAGCCTACACTAAGGTCAAGTTTTCATAATAATAAGTCTCCATGTTGTTATTTATGAGCTGACAGCCAACAACAAAGCTTTCTACATGTACCAACACATTTTCAATATGCTACAACAAATTACTTTCCAAAAATGTATGACAGCATCAAGTCCTTAAGACTCTTATGTATTTGTCTTACCTGGCCAAGACCTCCAGTGTAACACTGAACATAAGTAGTAACAACTAGCACTGTGTATGTCCCTGACCTTCCAGAATCATTATTCAACATGGGTATTTGATTTAAGGGTTTTCATGTTGCTCTGTTTAGATGCCCTACAGATCAGATTAAGGAAGTTCCTTTTGACGTTCCTTTCCTTAAGGCATATCTCCACAGCAACAAATTTTATCAAATATTTTCTCTGTATTTAATGAAACAACCGTATCAACACATCCTTTTTCTGTTACTGTGGTAAATTTTAACAAGTTTAGCTTCCCATGTCTGGAATATACTAGCTTGATATAAAACTGAACGTATAAAATTTACACATTGCTAGATTCAACTAACTTTTCATTTGTTAAGTCCGAATCTATGCTATCAGTGAGATAAGCTAACACTACTTGTTTATTATACCCTTATCTAATTTCCACACTGAAGACCGAATTTCGTGATGCACACTGGTATGGTCCTTCTTTTTCTAATAAAGGACTGGATTTGTTTCTTCCTTAGATGCACATAAAGAGACAAGGCTGTGTATGAATGGAAGTTTATTATTATTTGTTTATGTATGTCTGTGTATAAAGGCCTTAAATAATTTACTGATTTAATAATTATGGAACTTTATAATTTCTGCTTTTCTCCAGCAGTTATATTTTTGTAGGAACTGATAATATGATTTAAATTTTCCATTTTTTATCTTGTTTTAGGGTCTTCCTATATATCCCCAGAACCATATAGACCAGGCTGGTCTTGATCTCAGAAATATGCCTGCCTCTACCTTCTAAGTGCTAAGATTAAAGGCATTAAAGGCCTTGATCTAAATTTTTAAATATACTTATAATATTCTACTTGTAAAGGCACGCAAAGATTTATTTTTCTAAGTGTGGGGTATGTAAATGTATGTGTTTGTGTGAAATGTGCATGTGAGTGCAGGTACCCTCAGAGGCTAGAAGAGGGATCCCCCTGAAGCTGGAATTATAAGTGGTTGTGAGCTGCTCACTGTAGGTGCTTGGAGTCAAATTTGGGTCCCCTGAAGAGCAGTACAAGCTCTTAACTCCTGAGCCACATCTCTCCAGCTCCTTTTAAAAGAATTCTTATGCATGGAACTAGGTACTGCTGTCTACAGACACAGTGTTGTACAGCAGAGGTCTAGAATCTGTCTTCCATAATGGAGAAGGTATATCTTCTATGTTTACAAGGGACAAAAGAACAGTTGTCTCTGGAGGTGGGAGAAGTAACTGGAAAGGAAAATAAAGAGAATTTTCAGGAGTTATATTTTGGTTTGGATGATGCTACGCAGCTATGTACTTACACATAAAATCCAGTAAGCAATATGTGCAGGACTACACACTTCACTGCTTTAAGTTACATACTACTAAATCTTTTTGTAAAAGGTTGAACATATGAAGATTTTTGTAAATGTTTAGAATTCCCTAATAATCTGTTGGGAGAAGTAGTCATCTTCCTAGTTTCTGAATCAGTAGAGCAGTAACATCCTGAAATGTTACTTTATCAGCATTTAAGTTAAACTTCAAATATAGTTAAACAGCAACTGACAGAAAAGCAAGCGCTAACACAAAGCATTTCTTGAGAATGTAGACAAACCTTCCATTCAAATGTGATCAGGAGGCTGGGCGGTAGTGGCGCATACCTTTAATCCCAGCACCAGGGAGGCAGAGCCAAACAGATCTATGTGAGTTTGAGACCAGCCTGGTCTACAAGAGCTAGTTCCAGGACAGCCTCCAAAGCCACAGAGAAACCCTGTCTCAAAAAACCAAAAAAAAAAAAAAAAAAAACAGAAAAAAAAAATGTGATCAGGACCACATGATGTACTTACCCCTCTAATCTCACATCTGGTAAAGATCTGTTGAGTGCAATCATCTCACTTGCCATTAAATTAAACTGATTGATTTTAAACATCTCTTTCATCTTTTCTTGATCCTCTTTAGGAATGACAACTGGTTTCCCCATTTCTCCAGGACCTTCATGAGGCTTCTGCACTGGCTCTGGAACTAAGAAGAAATAAGCTTAACTGATATCAACTTCCTAACAATTACCTCATGCTTTTGTATAACAATATTCAAGTTAAAACTGTGCCCACATCAAGCAGAGCCTCTTCTGGGCCCTCCCAGTCTGTTCATGCCTCCAAGGGGCTGTGCAGTTTTCCCATTTTGAGAAAATGACACTGACCACTAGCCTTGCTGCATTCTTTTAGAATGCCAAATAGCTCTTCAGAGGGTCAACTTAAAACTTTCACGAGAGCCTTCAACTAGTCCTTGCTATCCTCGTCTCTCTTCTTGTCACACAACCACCTATTCATTCAAAAGTCCCCATCTTGTTAGATAACTTAACACCTTGTCTGAAATCCTTTGATGGCATGGCACTGCCTGCAGATGAGCCAAAATCCTCATCATAGCACAGGATCCTCTTTCAGTCTAACAAATGCCAAAGACTTCAGACACCATACTCAGCTTTGACAAGTTTCTGGAAGGAATTCTTTTTAGATGAATTTATTTTTGCATGAGTGCTTTGCCTGCACATTATGTATCAAATCCCCTGGAACTGGAGTTACAGACAGTTATGAGCCACTATATGGGTGCAAGGAACTGAACCCAGGTCCTCTGCAAGAGCAGCCGGTATGCCCTTAACCTTACTGAACCATCTCTTCAACTCCTCTTTTTCTGTTATTGTCCAGCACCTATCAGAGCTTTAAACACATTCTCCAAGTGAATTTTCATGTGCTACAGATTCTCTATTCTCTCTTCCTTTAAGCCTCTGCATTCCAGACAGAGCAACACAAGTTTCCACTCTGACAATGTACTAAAAAGCAGGGTGAAAGAAATGCAAAGCCTTTGTTTGGGAAAAGAATACCATGTTTCTTATCAATGAGAGATACACTTCCCCTTCGATTTAAGGGAGCAGGGTGTATGGCTCTATCAAGTTAGGAAGGCAGGATTTTGTTACTCAGCAATGTTATAAAGCAGCAGAATCGTAAAAGTTAGTATTTCATGAATTTATAAGTACATTGATGGAGCTAACCTAGGCATTACTAACATCCTGTTCTAGCAACTAAGCAGAACTGGTTATAAAAATCCACCTATAAAAATTATGGCTAAGCAGGCACTAACACAAATAACTTTTAGATCACCAATTTTAGGGAACCGAATGTCTTCCTCCTTATTAAAAATTAAATAGTCAAAAATTTTTGTACTGGAAGAACAACCAAATATCACTTCTATAAACAGTAAACAAGCCAAGCAGACATGTTGGCACACACTTTTAATCCCAGCACTTGGGAGGCAGAAGCAGGTAAACCTGAGTTTGAGGCCAGCCTTCCCTACAGAGAGAGTTCTAGGACAACTACAGAAAAGCCCTGTCTCGAAAAATTAAAACAAAGCAACAACAAAAACAAAAAAAACCCAAAAACCCAAATCTAAATTTTCCATGTTCCCTGACAAAATATCAGCATTACCTATTCAGGTCCATTACCTATTTAATATTAAATAAAAATAAAACTGAACAATTCAATGACATTTTAACATTCAACTGTCAGAAGAATTAACCACATTGTTAGAAATATAATTAAAACATAGGAACTTAGGGATTATGATTTACCTTAAATTTTAAATCTATATATAAATTTAAATTTTTTATAAAATATAAAATTTAAATTTATACAGATCTAAATATATAGCTATAAATCTTAAATAGAAACATAAAATATAGAACACTATTATCAGTATCAATAGAAACAAGCAATACACTTAAGAAAGCAGTTGTATAAAAGGCCACTCACCATCCCCAGCAGGAAGTCCTCTCTCCTTCTTCTCATCACACTTGTTGCACTCACTGAAGTAAAGCAGCAGGAACATATCCAAGAGTACCCAAACCAAGGAGGTGGCGAGAACCACCTT